AGGCACCAAAATAGCAAAGCCCGAATTCACTCCAGCAACCGATGAAGAGACCTCAAGGCCAAGAAGTCATAGCACGGAAAGAATTCCTCACAGACCAACCAGAGTCAATCTCAAAAGATAGGTCACCTCTCCCGAGATGTACGTGGGGCCAGTGCTCGAATGGCTCGCTTGAAAAATGAGCTACCAGCGACTGCCGTTCAAACCAGGGAAATTAAAGAAGGAACACTGACAGGACACCATGGGGGGAAAAATGTTCATCTTGAACAGTTGTTTCACTGAGATCTGTTTTCTGTCTCTTGAGCACTGCTGAGGGGCTCGAGGCGAGGAATATGAGCAGCTTTCTTCAGAAGCTGCTCCCTGACACATTTATATTGGACACCCATTAGATACGGAAAAGGCTCAGCAAATGGCTGGTCCTAGAAGGCAAGAATCTGACAAGCCTTAGACTTTTGTCTGCAAGGTGCTTAAGTTCAATAATAAACTTGTGCTACTGATTGTACATAAGGGTTCCAGCTTTTCTGGCAGCAAAAGCCACAAAATGTCAGTTTTGGGGACTTCTCAGCGGAGCTGAACAGCAAGAGGTCTGCGTTCGATGGCCTCAAGCAAATCCTCACGGGGACCAATGTCAGATATAGCAGCAAGTACCCGTCCAGCTGCACTATGGATTTTGCAGGCTCCACATGATTTTGCAAAGCGTGGCGGATGCTCCAGAGACTTTGGTGGAAGATTTTGTTCCACAGTTGATTCAGTCGTCTTTAACTTCTCCATGCGAGAAAATAAGCATCCCGTTACTTCCGAGACCATCCTTGGGGAGGATCGGAACGTTATGGAACGAGGCGAATGCTGCAATAAATATCAATTCCAGCTGGGCCTCCGGCTTTCTGGCTCATTTCTACAAAATGTTTTGTAATCCGCTGTCTTCTATTCTGTCCAGGGTCTTCCCGGAAACACCCCAAAAAGGAACGCAGACTCATGGCGTAAGAACTGCTTTAATGACTTCAAGAAGTGGGTTGTGCCCACGAAAGCTCCGATACCATCTACATGTTCTGTTAGTCTTTAAGCTGCTGCTAGACTGTTCATTGTTTTTAAGTTTTTCCAGTTACAGACTAACTTGGCTCCCCCTCTGCAATGCTTATAATCCTGGCTCCAGCAAAGCACATCGGAGCTATGCCAGTCTTCCCGGGGTCCCGGCTTTCTCTCGTGGTGTATGGTGAGGACGAAGGGGAGGGACACACAGCTCTACTACTGGCAGTTTGATTTCCTCTCCGGCTCCTCGGCTTCCCTACCGCACTTCCAGTTCGTTGCTTGGCTGCTTTCAACTCTTGTCCATCTACCAGCTGCAGGAGCCATGACCCCTTCTTCCCCTCCTTGCCCCCCAGCTGCTAATGGGCAGCAGGTCCCTGAGGGAACTCTGGTGCAGACAGAACCAAGCTGAGGTGTGTCCGACTGGACAGCTGGGAGTGTGGAAGGGTCACAGGGACAGACAGTGGTGGGCACACTGTGACGTAGTGGGGGTGCTGTTATATTCGCTGCTGCATTGTGTGTGTGTGTGTGTGTGTGTGTGTGTGTGTGTGTGTGTGTGTGTGTGTGTGTACCTCAGTCCCGTTCCCTCCCCGCAGCTCACTCTGCATGAGGGGGGAGAGGCCAGGCATGACTCATTGTGGACGTATGTCCGTGTCTCACCTCCGGTGGGCCAAGTGACAACAGACATTGGGTCTGAGAGCAAGACAATGCAGGAGGTGGGGCTGCCTGGGGCCAGTTGCTGGGAGGGTGAGTTAGTCTCGGCTGGACTAGGTTGAGTGATGATGTTTTAGACCAAGGAAAAGGGGGTTCAGGGCCCGTGAGCCCTTTCCCGCAAGAGGAATAAGGCTGTCTGCTCTTGGTGTCTGTGCTAACACCGAAGCAATAAAACTTTCTTCTCTACTGGCTGACTGAGAGTCACATCTGGCTGTGGATGGGGGTGCAGGGTTGGGGGCTCCCCGACACGCCATCACAGACACCGTGGTGGAAACGGTAGAAACAAGAGACACACCCCTCATAGGTGAAAGTGGGTTCAGGAGTGGCAAAGAAAGGGACAATTGCTCAGGTCCTGGGAGAGGGCACAGACCAGGGGAAAGTCTGCTCCAGTCCTGGAGGCAACAGTGAGAGACAAGGGACTGGGCAAAGGGCGGGAGATGAAGGCGCTGCTCAGGACGTCTGGCAATGGAGGAAGGGGTGTCGTGACACAAAAGGGACCACACAGGGAGATAGCGTGAGGTATGCGAAAGGGATACCAAGATGACAACAGTGTCTCCATATGGCACATTTGCACCATCTGCAGCTTTGGGAGTTTTAAGACCGACTGCTCTTGTCTCATAAATTGTTTCTTGCTATGGCTAATTACCCTCCATGAAACTCAGGAAACTATCAGCGTAGACCCTGTGCCTGAGAAAATGGATGCAAGATATGCAACTCCAGCTACATGAATTGAGTCCCTGGAGTTTTGACGTACCTTGCATCGATTTTCTGGGGCAGCCCCACAGTGGGAGGTCAATGGGAAAAACTCTCCGGTCAACTTCCCTTACTCTTCATGACTGCCTGAGAAAATTGATGCCAGATACACAACTCCAGCTACATAATTTGCATCACTGGAGTTGACGTACCTTGCATTGATTTTCTGGGGCAGCCCCACAGTGGGAGAAACTCTCCCGTCGACTTCCCTTACTCTCAATGACTGCGAGTGTGACCCACCTAGTGTGGGTCATGGTCCCATGTAGTGGCACTTAGCTTCACTGTAAGTGGTCTATGTCTAGACTAAGCTGAAGTTTCGAAAGAGGGTATGCAAATTCCTCTTTCAAAACTTCATCGTAGTCTAGACAAGCTCTATGAGATAAGAACAAGGAACATTTGTCGCCTAAACTCAGGGCCAGATGGCTTCATAGCTCACGCTGTAGCGGCTCCTACATTAAGCTCCAGAGGTCCCTGGTTCAAATTTGCCTGGTGGCAGTTATGTGAGGAGTTCTGGGTTGATGAGGGTGCCCTGAGTGTTCGGTTTAGTGGGTTCTTACCAGACCCGAGAAATCAAATGCCAGAAGATCAACCTCTGAAACATTGATTTTCCTGGAAGTGCAGATGAGACTGTTAACCATAAGACCGCATCTTGAAATGGTGGAACACGAAGTTGTCTGAGGTTAGTAGGGTATTTTCATAAGTTTCTTTAAATGAATGTAAAGAGAAGCCTGGAGGTTAAGCCTAGAACTTTCTGCCTCCAGCACTTGCATCAATGTACCTTCCTGTGATATGCACACCTTTCTCTCTAATCATGTCAAATTGTTATGATGCGTTTATACCCTACCGACAGCTCATGTGAGAAAAATGAAACTTAGTCCTCTACTAGTGGAACCGTAATACAGTTTAATGTGGCAATGGCTATTGTATCGGATCTGCCTTGCTATGGAAGGAAATACATTTTGCTACACAGATTTCATATTCTTCTAACACTGTATAGGCCTTTGGTTGGCAGGATTCTGCGCAGGAGAAACATCACAAATAAAAGTGTGGGCTGGATAGATGCTAATGACCTGAGTTTATCGGTGTGCTTGGCACATGTCCCATTATTTCCGAAACTGAAGCAGTTAAGAGCAGAGGTGAAAACAAAGTTGGGTTACAAAGAAGAGGTGCGACGCCATTATTTTCTGCAGCAGTCTGGGACAACAACAAAAACAGTTAATATTGGAATGTTTTTCTGGGGAAGGAAGTGGTAACGTGAGGAAGGTGTTGCACGCTGCATCTAGCCACATCACAAACATTGGCAATGCTTTGGAGCCAAAATACCAATTCAATGGGAAAGTTTTTGATTTGTCTTCTGTCCAGTGACGATAATCTTTGTATGTTGCGTGGCGGCTACTTTGAGGCTACATACGAGTGAACGGTCACTTGAATGATGTTTTACCACACAGTATGCCTATGTCTCCTCCCAGGGGTGGTGGGTATGCTAAGCAGGGGAAATAACTGCCTTCCTAAGCCAAAGGCCTGGTCCTAGCCACACGCCACCCTCCCTGCCCACGAATTCCTACTGTAGGCGCACTGGGGGCGGAGTGTTGCTGCCCCCGACTGCCTATCCTCCCCGTGTTCCAGGGCTGGGAGGATGGGGCTGTGTGCCGCTTCACCTCCCCATGCCGCTGGGGGGAGGGGTTGACTGTTGGGGGAGGTGGGGCTGGGGCAGAAGGGATGGGGCTGAGGGCAGGACTGGGGGCTTGCCCATGTCTCCTCCATTGGGGAGTCCAGGCAATATTTCAAATGGCCACATCAGTAATAACAGCACGTCGCCATCACTGCAATATGTGGCACTTTATTATGCACGGGATAAATAATTCACACGTGTCCATTGATTCCTATTCAGACGAACAACTGAAATAGTAGTTAAAGGACAAGAAGGGGTATTGTGAGTGGGACAGGCGGTCTGTCTCCTGCTCTTGGGCTGGGGAGGGTGGGGAAAGGAGAAGAAAGTATCTGGATTGAAAAGGAGAAGAAAACCATTGGTCCTCTGCGGAACATTGGCAACTGGATCTCTGTCCTACACGAAAGTTTGGGGCCATGGCCAGATGTGCCCACATATGGGCACAAAAACAAGAGCAGAACTGAGCATAAAATTCTTATAAAAATGGCCTGATGATTGCGGGCAGCGCAGCTCCCCCGAAAACACTCAACTGTCATCTAAATGTATCAGTCAGTCCTGCCTTCATAGGCTGTCAGTTAATTATCCCGTTCCATTGATTAATACTCCCTGTTCCCCTCAAACAGCACTACCAGTCCCTCCTGCTAACCCTTCCCCCTACAGAGTCCATCAGCCTCTTCCCTTTACATCCATCCTGGCCTCTCTCATCCCCCAAGTCCCTGGGTACCATTCGCGGCCTGGCTCGGAGCCCACCCACACCCCCGCTCGCAGAGCAAGGGGACAGGGGAAGTGTGGGGAGTCCATGAACTAATCCCATGCTTTGTTCTGTGTTTTCCCTAAAAAGCTGGAGCATCACGACAAAGGCGAGGAGGACTCCCCTGCCAAGTGGAGGTCGGAGGAGGAAATGGCAGCGGAAGCAGCCAGCCTTAAGCAATATTTCCAGTGAAATCCAAGGTAAAGGTTCCGAAGCGATGGTACAGATGCAATGTAGACAGACCCCAGGAGGCCCGCTTGAGGCGCTGTATAAACCAGTCCAAGAAACGCTTCATGACACTGAGTGTCAGAGCCAGGCTCAGTGGAGGCCGGGCTCAGGCTGTGGGGCTATAAAATCGCACCAGTGCCTTTCCGCCCTGGGTTGGAGCTCGGCCTGAGACCTCATGAGAGGGGGGAAGGTCTTGGAGCCCAGATACCCGCCAGAGCTTGGATGTCTGCATTGGTTAGCCGGAGCTTGAACGTCTGCATTGGTTAGCCTCACAAGCCTGAGGCAGCTGACCAGGGCTTCAAGGTATGGGGCCCCCGGGGTCTTGTGGTGGTTTTGCAGCACAGGCATGCCTTAGAGATGCAGACCCTGCCCTAGAAAGTGACAATCAAGGCTACTGGGAGCAAAAAAAGAGAGAGAGAGAAAGAGAGAGAAACGCAGCAAGGGAGGGGAGGGAGCACCAGGGCCGCAAAAGGAAGGCCAAGCAGCTCCTGGGGTTGGTTATGCACTGATCATCATGGCGCTAAAAGAACATGCTGCTTCCAACGCACTCCTCCAGCACCCCAGCGCCAGCCTGGAGACATACTCGGCCAGCAACACCCAGGAAGCAGGACTTGGCTCACCAAAACAGGTGCAGTTTGCGAACAGCTTCCACCCTGTGGGGTCCGGCAGGTCCCAGCTTTCCCTTCTACTTCCCATAGGAAATCGTCTCCGTATATATGGAGATAAATGTTCCCTTTTTTAAGAGAGACCACTGAGCACAGGATATACAGTATCGTCTACGCAACTCCTAGTGCTAATTCTGCCACAGAGCGTGGGAGCGAGTGCTGTTTTGTGCTCGCAAGCCTTAACTTAGTGGTTCGGCTGTACTCTCAAAAGAAACCTGCTGGGGAGGTGCCTATTGTGCTGCATTTGCCATTGGCCCAAAAAGAGGAAAGGATTTCAAGAGAGGGGAAAAACAAAAACAGCTTGGCAAGTGCTGATGATAGTTGCACCTAGTAGCTATAGCACCAATCTCAATTTCTAGAGTCCCAGACGTGGCATCCTTCCAACTGAAACCATAGAACTGGAAGGGACCTTGAAAGGTCACCAAGTCCAGTCCCCTGCCCTCACGGCAGGACCAAGCAGAATCGAGATTATCGCTGACAGATGCCTGTCCAACCTGCTCTGAAATATCTCCAGGGCTGGAAATTCCACAGCCTCCCTAAGCAATTCCACAACCACCCTAGGAAATAAATTGATAGCGCCGCAAGTTTCCTCTTCCCTTCCCCGTAATTCGTTAGCGTCATCCACTTCACTTGTGTCTGAAAGTTTCTGATTTTGTCTCCCAGGGAGTAGGAAGGCTATAAATCTACCTGCCGTGTGCCTGGAACTTGTTTTTTGCAGCCCAGCTTGGGAAATCTTTGACTGAAAGTCCACAGAGAATGTGCATGGCCGGGATGAGCTTTGCTCTTCAGGGTTTAGTTGCGTCACTTGTTTTCAATTCCTCCGAGTCGCTGTGCACTTTTTCTGGCTCGCCTCTCATTTAGCCACAAGAGGAAGCTGCAGTTAGAAAACGTCTGACCCAGGCAGAAGAGAGGTATTCTGGGAGGAGGCACATACGTACACAATTAGAGTGTGTCTACACTGGACCCAGAGCTCGAAATAAGCCACACAATTTGAGCTATGCAAATTAACTCGAAAATAAGCTATGCAATTACAAAATAGTTTATTTCGTACTTAGGCACTGTCTACATAGCACTTATTTTGACTTATTCCGAAACTCCTCTTACTCCTCGTGGAGTGAGGTTGACAGGGATGACGGAACAGTGATATTTCAAAATAACGGGTGCGCTTAAAAGATACAGGTGAGATATTTATAGCGCTGCAGTGTAGACGTAGCCTGAGGCAAGAACAAGAGGCGCTGTGTAGATCGGTACTCACCTCACTGGAGCATTCGTGCAGACTGGACATTGCTGTGCTTCAGGAAGATGGAGACTGAAAAGCCTGCTTCAGCTGATCTCCTTTCCAATGCAGGCTCTTTCCCCTTGTGTATTTGTTCTGGCTTCTTCTGGTCTAATTAGAAATGAAAGACTGTTGTCGTACCTCGGTGTTTTCGTACCTCGGTGCCTTTGGTGGTCTGGACTGTCAGTGTCAGCGTCGTCTGGTCAGGGTTGTCCTGGCACGCTCCTGACAGGACCTCTACTCTGTCGGTGATATAGTATTGGAATTTTCAAAGGAGCCTATATATGAATCAGGCCCACCACCAGTGGCAGCAAAGAGGGCAGTTGCCCCGGGGTGTGGTGATTCAAAAGAGCGCGAGGCCCTTAAAATCATCACTGGCGTGCCATGTGACGTGTTTCAACAGCTCTGAGCACTAGATGTCCTTAGCCCTGCCCCTTCTACCCAAGACTGTGCCCCTTCTGGAAACATGGATCCACCCCACCTCCACCTTGCCCAGAAGCTCAGCAAGTCTATGCCCTCCCTATATAAATTTGGTCCCCAAGTGCCATTGAAAGTCAATACAAATTGGTTGTTGGATTAAGATTCCTTTGTGTACCCGTCAGATGAATAAATCCATAGATTTCCAAGGCCAGAAGGGACCACTGTTACCATCTAGTCTGACCTCATGTGTAACACAAACCAGAGAACTGCCCCCAAATCATTCCGAGAGCAGAGCATTTAGGAAAACATCCCATCTTGATTTCAAATTTGTCGTCGATGGAGAAGCCACCAGAACTCTAGAGGTTGTTCCAAAGGTTAATTAATCTCATCATTAAAAACCTATGTTTTCTAGCTTCAACTTCCAGCCCTTGGATCACGTTATAAAATGTACATCAGATATATCTTTCTCTGTTAGCCTGAAGAGACCATTATTAAATATGCATTCCGCCTGTAGAGATCTGTAACTATGGTCAAATCACCCTTTAACTTTCTCTGTTATACTAAATAGATGAAGATCATTGAGTTGATCACGATAGGCAGGTCTTCTAATCCTTTAATCATTCTCATAGCTGTTCTCTGAACCCTCTCCAATTGATCAACCTCCTTCTTGAATTGGACATGGAATTCCAATAGTGGTTGGACCTAGGGATGTGAACGGGCAGGGTGATGCTTGCTGGGTAACCGATTAACCGGTACCTCCGGCCGTGGGCAAATGGCTGCTCCAGCCCTGTACGGGGCTGGAAATGGCAGAGCCCATCCTCCTACCCACCCCACCTCTCCTTTAGTCGGTTAAATGGTTAAACATAGTATTGAGCACTATGGTTAAATGACATTGAACACTCTGGTTAACCAATTAAACAGGAGTTCACTTCCCTACTTGGGCCAATGTCAAATACAAAGGTTAAAAACACCTCTCTACTCTTATTTGAGATTCCCTTGGGTTTATGCATCCCAGGATCACGATTTGGTAACAGAGTCACTTCAGGAGCCCATGTTCAGCTGACTGAAAATAATTTGGGAGTCACGGTGGATAGACTCACTCCTTCCTAGGCTAAAGTCCCCATCCTGTAAGTGTGACCTACATTCTTAGTACCTCCATGTATATATTTACATTTAGCTTTTTTAAAATACACGTTGTTTCCTTGTGCCCAGTTTACTATCCAGTCCACATCTGTATCAGTTACCTGTCTCATTCGTTATTTGCCAATGATAGTTTTTTCTTTCAGGTCACTGATAAAAATGTTAACTAGCGTAGCGCCAAGAATCAGCCGCCTAGAAATACACCCACTCGGTGACGATTTCCCCCTAACCTTTAAGGTCAGGAGGGCCCATTGTGATCACATTCTCTGACCTCCCGCACATCACATGACACAGAACCTCACCACCTACTTCAGAAACTCAACGGCCACGTCTAGACTGGCATGATTTTCCGCAAATGCTTTTAACGGAGAAGTTTTTCCGTTAAAAGCATTTGCGGAAAAGAGCATCTAGATTGGCACGGACGCTTTTCCACAAAACCACTTTTTGTGGAAAAGTGTCCGTGCCAATCTAGATGCGGTTTTGCGCAAGAAAGCCCTGATCGCCATTTTTGCCATCGGGGCTTTTTTGCGCAAAACAGTTTTTCCCTGTCTGCACTGGCCCTCTTGCACAAATACATTTGCACAAGAGGGCTTTTTCCCGAACAGGAGCAGCATAGTATTTGCAGAAGAACACTGACAATCTTACATTAGATCGTCAGTGTTCTTGTGCAAATTCAAGCGGCCATTGTAGACAGCTGGCAAGTTTTTCCGCAAAAGCAGCCGCCAGTATAGACGCAGCCAAGCAGAAATAGTGCACTAACGATCTAAGTCCTCAAATATTGATGTAAAGACTTAAAGTTACAGAGAATACACCATTTACTTCAGTTCAAACCCCCCCATGATCTCTGCCAACCTAATCCAGGGGAAAATGCCTTCCCAACCTCAAATATGGTGATGGGTTAGACCCTGAGCATATGGGTGAGACCCATCAGCCAGGAACCTGGGAAAGAATCCACAGTTGTACCTCAGTAGTCATAGAGGGGCCACCGTAGGCAGATATGGGAGACTAGCTGGAGAGCCGCTATTACCAAACATCTCCAGTGGCCAATCTCATCATACCACCCCCTCCAGACAGTTATCAAGCTCAATCTTGAAACAAGGTAGAGTTTGGGGGATTTTTGCCCCTAGCATACCTCTTAGAAGTCTGTTCCAAAAATCTCCTGATCATTTGAAACCTTTCTCTAATTTCAAGCCTAAACTTACTGCTGGCCAGTGTATATCCATTTGTTCTTGTGTCAACATTGACTCTTAACTTAAACACCAGGGAGGGAGAGGAGATATTTATCTCTTTGATGTATTGATCGAGAGCCACCATCTTTTCCTCCAGTCTTCATTTGTTATGTCTTCTCCTGCATGGTAGATTTTGAGACCTAAGGAGTTAGCCAGTTTTAAATCCATTTAATTTGTACCGTATCCATTTTATATCCTTCTGATTTTGAATCACAATGCCATGCTGTGTCAAGTGAACCACC